CCTGATGTGGCAAAAGAGGTCGCATAGGGGCAATCCTGTCCAAGGCCCCAGCCACCTCCCTATTCCAGGCAACAGCCAAGGCCTCCGCTGGACCATGCAGAAGATCACGGGAATACCCCCCAGCTCCCTCTGAAACCCTTACAGGTCCATCAGGCACCAGGGGTGGACCAATCGCATGGGTCTTGCCTCCCTGTGGAGGGGGGTGGCATAGGAGAAACTCAAGGTCACCAGGACGTGATCTGACCATGGGGAAAGCTGTAAATCTCCCCTCAGATCCCTTTGCCATTCCTCCGACAAGAAAACCAAATCTGGCATGTGACCACTGTCTCAGGTTGGGTCCCACACAATTTGAGACAGGACCATGGCTGCCATGGTAGCCATGAACTCCCAAGCCACCTCCGAGGACCGTCCCAGGGATAGCAGGTTGAAGTCCCCCAGAACTGTAAGCCTGGGGAACTCCACCACCAGCCCCGAGGTGGCCTCCAGCAGCTCAGGCAGGGACGCTGCCACACAGCAGGGAGGCTGGTACAGTAGCAGAATTCCCAACTGTTCACGGGAACCCAACCTAAAGCACAGTGTCTCACAGCCAGAAACTTGGGAAGCAATGCCCCTGAAGGCCACCAGAGTGTCCCGGATGACAACAGCCACCCCTCCTCCCCTGCCCTGGCATCTCGGCTGGTGCCACACAGTGAACCCAACTGGGCACATTTCTGAGAGGGGGACCCCCCCCCTCAGGCCCCAGCCAGGTCTTGGTAATGCATGCAGGGGGAGTCTGCCCCTTCCTTGGTGATCAAGTCACATATGAGGGGGGGCCTTGTTTTTAACCGACCCAGCATTAAGCAGCAGCAGCAGCCGAACACCAGGGCCCCTACGAACCTGCTGACCAGGGCCTGGGAATAAGCCAGGAGGGCTGGTACATACCACCAGTAACACACACCAGGGGCACCTTCCCCGAAGATGGCCCGCCCTCCAGCTCCCGCCATATCGTCCCCTACCCATCACCACCTTAATAGCGTAGTCCACCGCATAGTCCCCAGGGGTTCCAGGCCCAAATGCCTCCAATCCTGAACCTCTGGGGTCCCTAATCTGGGGCAAGGGTCCCTCCATCCAACCAGTCATCCTTATTTGTACTCAGACGCTCACAGGTGAGGGAGGGTCACCCTGGCAGTTCTCGGTGCCACTAGGATCCATCCCCACCAAACCTTACACTCCCTCACACCCCCTGCAAGACCTCTCTCACTAGTCAGCAGGGCAGGCATCCCACTCCCTCCCTCATACCGCCTGTCTCCCACCCAGGAGGTGGATCCTAATATCATCATGCACTCCCAGACTCCCTCCCAGGAGGGAGTCCCGGACTCACACTGGAAGGACCCCACAGTTCTCCACTGATACTGGGGGTGGCTAGGTTCTAATCCCCAGTTCATCAGTCTTAAAACCAAGGGCTGTTGGCTTCATATGCTGTCCGGCTGCTCACCTGTCCGGCTGTTCCTGTGGAGCCAAACGATTTTCTTCCACAGCTGGACTACAAATCCACTATGGCCTTGGCCTCCCCAACCCGCCCAGTGTCCTTGCGCCAAACCACCAAGCTCCCAGGACTCCAGCTGCCTGTAAGTTCCCACATCCCTGGAGTTTGCCGTGTTGCTCCAGGGCTCACTAAAGCACAACATGTAGCCCCAGGGTCACTGGAACTTGCGGCACTGCTCCAGGGCCCCTAGGGCTCACTGTGCCACGTAAGGGCCTGCTGTGCCTGCTGGACTTGGGGTTGGGTATATTGTGTCTGGGGCTTGCTGGGCCCGCTGGGCCCGGGGCTCGGTGTGCTGCGCCGGGGCCCGTTGTGGTTCGCCACACTGTACTGGAACTTGCCGGGGCTTCCTGCACCGCGCTGGGGCTCACCAGGACTCACTGCGGCTTGTTGCACTCCCCTGGGGCCACATCATTTCAGGGCTCGCCATAGGTCGCTGCCCACACCAAGGTTCACAAGGGCTCTCTCCACTGCTCCGAGACTAGGTGGGCTCAGTAGGCTCACCGCACTGCACCGGTGCCCCTTGGGGTTCGCCATGCCATCCCAGGGCTTGTCAAGAGCCGGGGGCCAACAAAGCTCTCTGCTCTGGCGGCTCGCTGCACCATACAGGAACTGCGCCGCGCCAGAGCTCACCCGAGGCTTGTCCAAGGCTGCTGCTCTCTGCTGCGCACTGCCACGTTCTGCCAGTGCCCTGTCGCTTCGTCCAGGGGTTGCGCCCGAGTCAACATACCAAAGGGGGTAAAACCCCCTCGCGGTCTCCTCCGCACCCAGTCTACCCCAAAAAGTGGTAAAATCCTGGGGAGAGAGGGGTCAAAACCACAAAAAACCCCAATGCAGCGGCAATGACTGGTGTTTGCTGGTGGCCGCCATCTTAGATCTCAAGGCTGAAATCCTCTCTTTGCCACAGCCTCCACCTGCTAATCCAGAAGAAACTCCATATTGTGTATTTACTCCTTCAAAGGAAGTGCAGCCCCCATTAAGAGCAATATAAGGAGCTACTTTGGCACCTGACAGCCTCTGTTCAAAAGTAATTCTATCTTGCTAGGATTCAGTCTGAGTCTGTTCCAACCCACCCATTCCTTCATAGACTCTAGCCACTGGGTGAAAACTATATCTCCTGTTGGCCCTGGAGTGGAGATATGTTACTGGTTAACATCAGCATATTGATTTTTCTTTTTTTGGTGCGTTCGAGTCAGTGTTGAGTCCTGATGACTGCCTGGACAAGTCACTTCAGTTTTTTGGCAAGGTTTCAGAAGTGGTTTGCCATTGCCTCCTTCCTAGGGCTGAGAGAGATTGACTGGACCAAGATCACCCAGTTGGCTTCGTGCCTAAGGCAGAACTACAAGTTATGATCTCCCGGGTGACTCTCTATATTGATGATACTTCACCTCCAACCCCAGTATCTTTTTGTACAGATGTTAAAGAAAACTGAAATGTCCAAAGGCTCATTCTTTCCCATGAACACTACATTTAAGAAGTTCTGCTTAACCATGAAAAGATTTTTTCTGAATTTTCTGCATTCTATCGCACAAATCAAAGATGGTGCCTTTTGCTTCTATAAATTATTTAATGAAACATTATTTTCAAGCATTACCTTTGGCAACTTCTGCTTTTACAAATTTGTAAACCTTACTGAGGATGGGAAAATGCTGTAACAGAGGATGTGTTTACTTAATGTCAAATGTAAACTCTAATAATTTACTGATCTTTTTATTTTTTTTACAAACAAAATCAATACTGTAGTAACATTTACTCTAACCCAACAAAGGAATCTCATGAATTCTGTATCACAATTTGATATGATTTTAAGGTTCTAATAGTAACTAGCTGAACCTTGTATGTGTGTGAAAATCACATAATGGTTTCAGAAACCTCCCTCTTAAACAGAAAACCCAGAAAGGTTTTTGGCTGGAATCACATTAGCTTATATAAATAAGAAGGAAACCACTTATTTAAGCCTAAACACTGCTGTGTAGTATATCATGAAAATAGAAACTTCTGTAATTTATTGCATTTTTTAATTGTATGTGATTCAAATCATTCCAAGATCTATTTCACAAAATAGGTGACATCATCTTAAGGGTGGAGGACATGTTGCTTTAATATACATCTGAAATGTTATTATCTTCACCTTCCAGCAAAACTCTGCATACTTTCTTTTGAAAAATGAAAAAGATCTTCTGAAGAAAATGATATATGGTGAACTGGAAAGAAATATCCATTTATCTTTGTTTATAACTTGCTTTTTTCCAGCACTGTTATTCCTGTAATTTAAGTATTACAAGTACAATTGGCTTTTCTAAGTTATCTCAGAGCCAGAGGCACTATGTGGCTCAGGAAAAGTCAGTCTTCTTATAAGGGATGAAATGGAAACTTGGTCCAATATAAACCAAGGAATATGAAACTTGGTCCAATAAAAACCAAAGAATATGGTAGTTAGTTATACATTCATTAGGAAAAAAAATCATACTGAGAAGGAATGGGATTAGTATTTCAACTTTTGAGAAATTATTGAGGATACTATCATAAAATGACTGCTTAGTCTCCGAACATCATTTTCAGGCAGGGAAGAAAGGGAAACTGGTGATAGATAGATAGATAGATAGATAGATAGATAGATAGATAGATAGATAGATAGATAGATAGATAGATAGATAGATAGGATAGATCGATCAGAAACTGGATACATAGCAAAAACGTGACCTGAGCCCAAAATACAAAACCAATTTTTTTGCTTCAATAAACACTCATTTAACTGAAGGCAGTCATTTAATTTTCCTCTAAAATTAATTTTCTTCAAATGAATCACCTATACAGATCTTGCCCTCAAGACATTTCTGTTCAGTTCACTAATTTCTCTTCTGCTAACCATGCCGTCCCTTAATCTCTTTTTCTCACTACCAATCAGGACAGTGCTGTATCTCCCTTTATGCCTGCCGTTTAATTCATCTCTCACCTGCTCTCTCCAGGCGCCCCTCTTCCCTTCTCTCCTCACTCAGCACTTTGGAAAACCAAAAATGCCATCCCATTTACAACTTTCTATGGTGGCTGTTCCAGGCTTGAACAGTGTTCAGTTAATGTTGCATGAGGACAGCCACTGCCAGAAAACATTTCATTAAAAAGAAACATGCTTTCCCCCTCTTTTTTCCCAGGTGGCAGCTTCCCAGAAGTTTCCCCAGAATTCCCTAAGGCCACAGAGAAACAGCAGAGAAATAAAAATGGGAGGCAGCTGAGCTACATCTATGCTGTGTGTCACCTCACATCCACTTGTCCTTTGTTTTGCATGCATGAAACCGTGTGTTTTCTACACACCATTCTGAGAACTCACAGAACGGAAGTGAAAAAAACACTATATGGATAGTGTATGTGAAATTGCGCTACTTGTGAATTGAGACGGTTCTTGCTATGTAGATCACAAGGCTCCACTTAAGCCAATGTGACTTTACTTCGAAGTAAATAATTGCACCTGCCTCCTTGTTTAGGGGCAAACTGGCACGGATCCATGTATTTCTTTGATGTTTGTCTAGGTAGCCTATGGAACATTCCAAAGAATATAAATACTGGTGCTGTCACCATTTATTAAATGTCTTAGTTTATTAATTATGCAAATTATAATACATCTATTTGACTAAATAAAAAAGGAAGTTTGGGTCTTCCTATCTGTTTCTTTCAAAACAGTCTTTTCCAACCTGGCTTCTCCAAATGTGTTCAACACCTATAATCACTAGCTGGCACATCTGGAGGCTAGCTGTTACAGTATTTTTAAAAAAGGGCACACTTAAATGTTTGTTTTAGATTATGCACAGAGTAACATTGTAGAAAACACCCTTGGTTGAGTGCCACCAACCTGTGTAAAAAGAAATGGAAATGTCTCCTAGTTGCTAAGGGGTGTCTGCAAGGTATGTAAAAAAAAAAAGTCAAGATGGCAGTTGTGGTGGTGCAACTGAAGCTCTTTTATGTGTGTTGCACATGCAATAAGGCAAGTGGGCTTTGATTGCACCATCATGGCTGCCATTTTAACTTTTTTTTATCACATGCTGCAGACACTCCTCCAGAGGCTGCTTTCTTCTTCTTGTTATTGTTCTTCAAGAACCAAACAACAATTTTTCATAAGGTACCAACTTTTCCATAACAAAACTACTGTTGCTGAGAAAATGTTTTTCAGGAACATTCTGCCAGTTTCAAATTCTATTATCTGACCCTTACTGAGTAATGTAAGGACGGAAATATATGGTACAGTTTGTAAATAGATAATCCAGTCAAGTGCAATAAAATATATCTAAAAATAGTTCAGATATTGATTCAAAATATGCAATAATTATTTTATTATTCTGTTTTCCTTTTCATCTATAGTTAGTTGGGCACCACATGATACAAATGAATTTAGCATAGTCATAGTTTCACTTGATAAAGAAATAAGATCAAATTATAAGAGTACATAGAAGTTCAAGGTTCTATTTATTATAATTATCTAATAAAATTCATCCAAAGTTTATGGCTGTTGAATGATACTATGAGAAGGAGGGGCACTTTCTCAACTAATTATCAGGAATGACAGGCATTATTTCTAGTCCTATAGCATTGAAATTGCTTGCTACTCCTCAGTTGTAAAGTGAATTAAAGGTTTTGTTCACATAACTCACAAAATTGTGGCTTGAGGTAAACAGGTGTTTGGCCTGGTATCCCAGCAATTGTAGCCAGTGTTTTGCTTTGTTTCACTGATACGTTAAACAATGGCCTGATATGAGGAAAGTTTTGTTTCACCCATCCCATATACAGTACTGTGCAAGTTTTAGGCAGGTGTGAAAAAATGCTGTAAAGTAAGAATGCTT